GGGGGGCACCCAAGCCCTTGCTCACCACACAGCCACGCTGGCGGGGACCTGGACCCGCATGGGAGCTGAGCCACGGCCCCAGGGGGAAGTGGGCAGCCTTCCCACCAGAAGAGATTTCTGTAGCCTGTCAGAATGGCAGCTTTTCCTATGTCTTTTTGAGGGGGTTTATACCTTTGTATTTATATTTAAAGACTGTGCTTTCATCCAGTCACCCTGGATGGCTCTACTTCTGGCTCCTTGTGCTTCACAGAGTACCCGTTATGCTGCAGTCTGGCTTTTCTGGAAGATTGCACTTATTTTTCTACCAAATAAACAATAGCTGCATTTCATTTCCCTCTCACCTGTTTGCTCCTTTTTGGCTTGCAGGGCTGTGGGGTGCCAGGCAGGTCCCTTGTCCCCGTGGTCCTGACCGGGCTGCTTGCTGGGCGCTTCCTCACAGGGCCATCAATAGCGGCTGAGGTCGAGAATCTGGGCACAGCGAGGGTGGCTGTATGTCTGGGCTGTTCTGGTCTTTCCTTTCAGCTTTTATGGCACGCTGCTGCAGTGTAGTTTGGGGGAAGATAGTCAGGATTTGTCCCTTACAGTTTTATTTTTTTAGGTACAAACCTGCAGTGAAATCAGAACAAATTGTTCATTTAATGGAACTTTACCCTTTTTTCTCCCTTGGTGTTGCTGTTGTCAGAAATTTGGACATTATTAGGCCAAATGCTTAGTTTCCTGGAAAAAAAGAGGTGAAACTCTCATATTCTTCCGAAGTCTGAGAAGCCCACATGGTGAAAACCGCACGTTGGCTGCGCAGGTGGGGGAACAGACTTCACACAACTCATCGCGGACACGCTGCGGCCCTTTGAGAGCAGCTCTGTCCCAGACCCTTAATAAAACTAGAAGTCACTAACCCGAGGACACCGTATGGTGAGACTGCAGGGAGAGGGGGGACAGACCCCTGGCACGTGGCTGGTGGGGAGATGGCACCTCCCCTGCACCTCCCCTGTGCTGGCCAACCCCCTCCAGCATGCTGAGAAAGAGCAGGTTGAAGGGCTGTACAGCAGCTGCAGTGCTATCTGCTTGCAGAGACTTCAGACGTGGACTTTGGTCAGTAAAGATCTATTAATTCATATAATTGCAATAATAGGATTTGCAGGGCTTACCAGTATCAGCAAAAGCTGTGTGTTGGCTGGAGCAAAGCTTGTAGCTGGGTGTTTCTATCAAGTACATTTATCTGGCTTGATTGCTTATTAGGTGGGCATTTAGGTGTATTATTTTAAGACTGTGTAAAGAAACTGTGAAGTCCAAGATACCGGCCCTACATTCAGGACAGGTGCTGAGCTGGCTCCCCACTGCCCTCTCCTCCACGTGGGAGCAGGTGGCTGACTGCCAGACCGGCTTTTGGGCAGCATGCGAGGCAATAAAATATATCCTTTTACAACCAAACTCACGTCTTCTGGCTGTTGTGATGGGCTTTGGCAGGGTGGGAGGGGGCTGCGTGGGGGGGGTCCTTGCCTGCCCCACACACTGTCATCCCCCAGATCCTGAATTTTGCAGCCTCCCTGGGTGCTGCATCCCTGAGGCGCAGCGGCAGCGAGCTGCTGG